CCACACACACACACAGCAGGCAGGGAGCTGTTCCATCCCCAACCAGTTAACCAAAACCAGTAAACCTCGTCTATTACCAGTTAACCATTCACATGTCTACTAGAGAAGCCAACCAGCCAGCAGGGGGAACCCCCTCTTTCCAGCCAGGGCTCAAATGTTCCACAGGCCTGGCACTTTCGGTGTCCTCGCTAGATTGGCTCCATTCAGCCCTGGCTGAAGTTGCCACAGTCTCCTGAATATTGGTGACACTGTAAATGAGGGGAGCATTCTCTCCCCCCCCCCCCAACACATTTGCTCCTATGATGTGGAGCTTGAGGAGCTCCCCAACCCTTGCAACCAAGAATACAGAGAGATAGAAAGGAAGAGTCCAAATCCATTCCTGTCAACATTTCTAGCTGGGAAGGCAGCAGAGGTCCTGCCACCCTATGGTTGGCAGGCTGGGGGGAGGGGAGAGGAGTTGCCCAGCAAGCACACCCCTCACTGCAGCAGCTCTGATTCTGCAGGACTGGCTGGGCTCAGCTCCCAGCTCAAGGCATTGCAACCTGGCACACAGCATATGCAGTTTTGGCGAGATGGCACAGAGCCACTGAGTATAGCCAGCTCTCCAGTACAGAAGCCACCTCAACAAGTACAGAGCATTTTGTGGATCAAAGCAGGACCATGCCATGGGACTGCTGGGAAGTCTGCCCTCCCTCTTCCTGGTGTACGTCTCCTGATGTTGAGATTAGGTTTTCAGCCCCTGCTTTCCCCAGGAGTCCTTTGGGTAGTTTTTTCCAGGGTGACTAGATTCAATTATTACATGTGGACCCTGCACTGCCTGGAATATTTCATGTATTAAGGGGAATATTATTTAGTTTCTATGTTGTCAGATGCCAGCCTGCCCATGGCATCTGGCATCATTTCTGCTTACGCATGTGCAGGCATGTTCCAGCAGAACAGAGGTTGTCTTTATAACATTGCTCAATTAGGACATCATTCCGCCCATTCTTGCACTTAACTCTCAACAAAATCAAGCCAAAAGAAGAAGCCTCTGGGGGAGGAGAGAGAGGAATAGAAGTCTACTAAAGGGTGGCAAGGTGCACGTGGATATAGAATCATAGAACAGTAAAAACTGGAGGAGACCTCAAGAGGTCATCAAGAACAGTCCCCTGCCCTCATGGCAGGACCAAGCATCGCCATCACTGATAGATGTCTGTCTTACCTGCTCTTAAATATCTCCAGAAATGGAGATTCCACAACTTGGGGAACTTATCCCAGTGTTTAGCCACCCTTACAGGAAGTTTTTCCTAATGTCCAACCTACA